GCGTGAAAACTGCCAACGTTAATCTTGCAGAGACGGGGAACTTGAGCAAAGAGTTCTTTGGCGTGAGTGAGCAGGAGTAAGTATTCTGTTGCTTTTATGGACTCATTATCTATGGGCTTCTCCCTTGACGGGACGTCCCCCCGATTGCCTGCGAGCTTCTCCTCCTGTCTGTACGGTAACTTCTGTACAGCGCGACAGAGAGTCGAGTGGTTATGACGCAATCGTTAGCCTATTTTTACTAAATCGGTTTCTACGGGGCCATAATGTAACATAGAAGGTAATGGAGCCCTTTATACATTGTCGTGTTTCTTTAGAAATAAATAATGGATAAATGGAGTCTTTAAACGCCTCAGATGTAAAGTTATTCGCTGTCAAAGTGACGCCAAAATGAATGGGAGTCAATGGAAATGCTAACGCAAGTGAAGTTCTGCTACAACATGGCGGCACCCGGCCGGCTTCAACTTCCGGTCGATGGATTACCCCCTTGGGTTATACTATAACTCTACTCTAAAGTAGATGCTAATTTAGGGTTTGTTCACACTTGTAGTTCGGTTTGCTTGGTACGGACCAAACGAAAAAACATTTAGTCCTTGTCCGCTTAGCGTTCACATTGGCATTTTAACACCGAACCGAAAGATACTGAACCTAAAGGCATTTGTTCAAAACCTGATTGGTCGGCTTTTATTACGTATATTTTGAAAAACAGTGAGAAAAAAACAGGTATGCTTAAGCATTCTGTCCATTTAAGGGTCGCATCTTGTGACTTCATGTCCCGTTTTTGGTTTGTTTACATGTCTTTGGTCCGTGTTCATATATCATTCGCACCGCATCAGAGATTTTTTGGAAGTGGACAGAGACCCATCTTTTAAGGGGTCTCGGTCTGCTTGTTTGGTGAGCACCAGGGTTTGGATGGCAGCGTTCACACTTGTTCAAATGAACCACACAAACAAAGCAACCGCACCAGAGTTCGTTTTAATCCAACCAAACCTGCCAAGTGTGAACACACCCTTAGTACCCCAAAAGGCGTTCTTATAACTAAAATCATTTAAGGTTCCTGCGGACCGAACACGCCTATAGGTGTGAACCTACAGAGCCATTTTGTGAAATGGAAAGTTTCATTGGATGTTAAAGATTCTTCATGGAACCATCAATGGCAGTAAAGAACCTTTATTTTTAAGAGTGTGGAATGATGAAACGCAATGACAGATTTTCTAATGAAGAAGGAAAGTGCTAAAACAGCATCATCACAAACCGAAGTGTTAACAGGCATCTGTGAGCGGTGTGAACTGCCACATTGTTAAATCGTGATGCAGCAGTCTTCTCTAGGCATGATGTGCACTCGAGAGAATGGTCACATATCGTTCAGACATTTAAAGAATGAATGTTTAGCTCAGGAACAGAATGATGCATCACCCACAGTAGCTACTCTCAGAAAAGCACTGGTAAAGCATGCCAGACTCACTCGATTACTCCCTCTCTCTCTATTTCAGTCTCTCTCTCGCTCTCTTACAGCTCGCATATCTTTCTTAGCTCCATCAGTCTTCCCTGTGCTCCTGTAATACAGACATTTTAATGCAAACGTAATTCATTAAATGGATTATTTTTAAGATAAACATTAAAGTGTCACTCAAAGCAACCCTTTCTCTATATAACTGCGGAGCATCTGAGCAATATTAATCTAGAAGTGCATCTCCTCTGTATTTAAAGGCCTAAAAATACCTGCACTCAACAGTGAACAGTCTCTTGTAAAAATGCGCTGCTCCCACACTGGCAGAGTAGAAGTACCTGCATATGTAATGTTACATCAGATTTTTTCATCACTAAAAAGAGTACGGTTAACTTGACTCTTGGTCTTATTGATTGGTAGCACAGCCATGATGAAACAGTGGTCCGTACAGAATAATCCAATAAACCTAAAGGTGACACTGTGGGGGATTCAAAGAAGTTATCTTCATCACAATAGATTTTAAGTTCAGATTGAAAAAGATCAACTGCCATTTTCTCCTAATCTTTCCCAAGACAGAACAGGATTGATTGGTCATTGTGCATTATTTCCAGTCCAAAAAGACACTTGGCATCATACATACACTGTATATATATATTTATGTCTGCACACACACACATACATAAATACTTTTGTAATTCTTATTCTCAGTGATTATCACTACAGTTTTGCAGTAAAAATGTATATATAAATTTGTGATTAGCTCTATAATCTCTACACAAATTCATAATGACCTCAGTCCCCTTTCAAATTTATATGAATCGGAATCGCAGAGAGTAGGTACTTATTTTACATAAGTAATAACTTCAAACGCATTAAAACTTGTTATTGTGGATGTGGCATTAGATTAACATCATGCACAGAAATGATTACAGTCAAATCAATTCACCTTCATTTATATAGCGCTTTTAACAATATAGATTGTTTCAAATCAGCTTTACAGTGATAATAGGAAATTAAAATAACAGATTGTTTTGGTTTACAGCAGCTCTAGAATAAAGTTATTGTCCAGCTATTAAACTATTAAAGACAAAATCACTGTGTAAAAATGATTGGTTGGTTAAACTTAAAAAGTAAGTAGCCTAACCTGGTTGCCTTAACATTTTTATTTCATAAACATTTGAGTTAAATGTAGGGTAGGCAATGTTTTTCATAAACACTTTTTATTATAATACAATGATAGGATGCCCTACCTGCCAGTCAACCCATGTGTTTGCACACCTCCGCGCACCTGCTCGCGCAAATGTGTTTCATGACAGAGCAGAGTTGTAGACAGACAGTCACCAAGCGCCGCAAACAAACAGCAGCCACTTTTTACAGTTCCTCCTGAACCAAAACTACGAGCTTATTCTTTGAGAAATGAGGTAATTTAACGCCGTCTCTCGTGTCGCTTTGCAGACTCTGCTGTACTCGTTCATGTTTTTTGAAGGAAGCGTGGCTTTGGAGACGCTCTGAAGGAAGGCTGGAATCTTATGCTTTTAAAGCTAGCTTGCTATTGCTAGCCTCTCTGAAATTGCCTACCCTACCTTTAATACAAAACACAAGATTAGTTTATTCAACAGAAACTGAAATATGTTATCTGAACAACATGACAACAAATCACGGAAATAATTTCTACAGTGCCGTGACAGACAGCACTCAGTCAACGCTCTCATTTAAACTGCTTATCAGAGTGAATGACAGAGACAGAAACATCATGCGATTATTTCGTTCTAAATAATGACCCGGCAGCTGATTATGACACATAGGGGCTGTTTACAACACCGTTTTCAATTAAAAACTGAAAACTTTTTATGCATTTTGGCTGTTCATTTGCACAACAACTACGTTTAGGGGGCCTGAAAACACAAACTTTTGAAAACGAGTTTCAAAGTGCAAGTTTTTGAAAACGATACTCGTATCGTCTCAAACTACAAAAAGCGAAGTTATGAAAACGGTGACATCATGTATATGCGTATTACGTGTTCAGTCTACAGGCGTGTAGTGTTTCTTTACAAAGTGACATCGCTAACTGCTGGCCTGGCATCAATAACAGCGTTTCTACTCGTTTTCGCAGATCCTTGTGAACGGCGATCGTTTTGACAACGTTTGACGTCTGTTTGCGAAAAACGCAATGGAAAAACCTTTCCGTTTTACTTTTTAGTACATCGTTGTCATGTAAACGTACCCTTAGAGTCAAGAAATTTGTTTTTTTATGTCAATTTGAATTATATAAGTAACAAATTTATAGAATCATGTGCTGTTATTCGTATTGTTTTATTAGAAAACAAAAAAGGCATGGTTTAAAATAGGGCAAATTAAACATTGCTAATCTAGACAGTTACATTAATAGTATGATATATAGTTAAAATTATTTGAGGGTTTAGGTGTAGAACCTATCTGAATGTATTGTTCCTGCCTACCCTAATACACACACACACACACACAAAAAAAAGAAATATTTTTTTAATCATACCCTCATTGGGGGCTGGGCACTCCCAATATTGAAATCCTAGAATCGTCCCTGCTATAGAGATAAATATAATTTATGAAATATTCAGCAGAATTAAAGCAAAACAACAACTGCTTACTGTTGCATATACATTTTTCAATACTATATAATTATGTTGTACATCACAGTAATGAGAATTGGGAGCAGAAATGTGGTTAACTGTTTTAAAAATAATGTCAATGCACAAAAACTTCGGGCTTAATTTTACTTAGCTTCTATTTATTATAGTACAGTCTTGTATTTCTTTCCTCTGAATTTAGAGTGTAATATGACCCAGACATTCACCCATTCTATGATGACAATGAATAGACACAAGCTATTTCAGACCACACTAAAATACTCCAAATCACAGACTCTGTGAGATGTGCTTTATGTACAGCATCAAGAAACATGACGGCTGGGACTACATCAGTTTCTTCTGGAGACACCATTGACCTGCTCTGTTGAATGCAGTGAATGCGCAGTCTCAGTGCGGAACGAAGGTATCAGACACTGTTGGCAATGTTGCCAAAGCAGCAAAAAAAAAAATGCATCTCATTTCATCAGGTCTTCCATAGCAAACCTGTATTAAGCTAACAGAGATTGCACACGGAAGGATGTGCACGAGACAAAAGACAACGCGGATCCTCCCACAATGAAAAAAAAGGATCTAAATCTTTTTGTCTGCTCATTTTGAATTGTAGCATAAGCCACAGTTGGGTACATAATCTCTACACTGTCTGCTATGCTGTTTTGTCTCTCGTTCTCTCAACGTCTCGTTATAGCAACTATAACACAGGTCCGTAGGGAAATATCACTATGGTATCCAGATGCATTTCAACGGGATACAGACAAGAGCATCAAATGCGGCGTAATTTGATTGATCTCAATCGTGCAGCACACAACATTCAAATGAAAGTGGGGGCTATTAGCGCAGATTATGGAACCACTTTCACCTCCATCGCGCGTGGAAATGAAAAGCGCTTATTCTAATGGCATCTCCAGACAATATATGCATCATCTTACCTGCGCTGTGCGAGAGATCAATGCCAGACTCGCTGAGGATGTTCGGGTCACTTTGAGATCTGCCTCTGTGCAGAAGACATTTGTCTATTCCGTCCGATGAAGCCATGAGGACCTAGAAATATGATATTGAAATCCCTTTCTGAGGCAGTCAAACCCGACGGTGAGGCGAGTGTGTCTCGGTCTAAGAGCATCCAGCAGCAGGCATGCTGAATTAGAACCCTTTACAGTCACTGTGTGTGTGTGTGTGTGTGTGTGTGTGTGTGCATGAGGGAGGGAGACCGAGTGTGTCTGTCATAAGGGCTGGGGTATGTGTGTGTGTGTGTGTGTACGCGCGCGCGCAGATGCCACCTTTATCCACTCCACAATGACCCACTGACAAGCGAGCATCCGTTCTGAATCACAGGATGCTAGCGCATGACGTTTTTACAGTGCTTTCATAAAATAATTCATTCATTTGGGCTTTTTATAAACAGTAGACCTTAGCCTAGTGTTTCGTTCGGAACGAATCGGTGTTTTTGAACGGAACGACTCTTTTAAAGTCCCCTTGAAATCAAAATTGACAGGCTAATTCTTGTTTTTGTTTTTTAAGGAACATTGCATTGCTTATTATTATTTATCCGTGCACATCATTATTATTATTCTTTTAATTCATGTGTCTTTAACTTACCCCCTATCATGCACGCAGTGACATCTCTTCTCTGATGAAGAGGGCGGGACAACAACCTGTCACTCAGAGCAAACCACAAAGATCAAATCAATTCCCAAAGGACAAAATCAAAATCCCACCCTACATGTTTTCTTGTTCGAGAAGTTTCACTGGTATACATGCACTAAAAGACTATTGCAAAGTCTATTTCATGACGACTTTAAAATGCACTATAACATGAGAACATGGGAGGGATTCATGTGAAGGGTCATCAAAGGGTTAGTTCGCCCAAAAATGAAAATTCTGTAATTAATTACTCACCCTCATGTCGTTCTAAACCCGTAAGACTTTCGTTCATCTTCGGAACACAAATTAAGATCTTTTTGATGAAATCTGAAAGATTTCTGTCCCTCCATAGACAGCTACGCTGAACAGATTTAGGTTTTTATTCACATATAAACATTCATCAACTCGCACATCAGTTGTGGTTAGCGGAAGCTCAAGCATGTTTGGGCTTAAAAACCAATGAGATTCATTCTCGTGTTACGCAGCACGTTTGAGTTTCAGCAAGAACCAATGAGGTTCATTCTCGTGTTACGCAGCACGTTTGAGCTTCTGCAAGAACCAATGAGGTTCATTCTCGTGTTACGCAGCACGTTTGAGCTTCTGCAAAAACCAATGAGGTTCATTCTCGTGTTACGCAGCACGTTTGAGCTTCTGCAAGAACCAATGAGGTTCATTCTCGTGTTACGCAGCACGTTTGAGCTTCTGCAAGAACCAATGAGGTTCATTCTCATGTTACGCAGCACGTTTGAGCTTCAGCAAGAACCAATGAGGTTCATTCTTGTGTTACGCAGCACGTTTGAGCTTCAGCAAGAACCAATGAGGTTCATTCTCGTGTTACGCAGCACGTTTGAGCTTCTGCAAGAACCAATGAGGTTCATTCTCGTGTTACGCAGCACGTTTGAGCTTCAGCAAGAACCAATGAGGTTCATTCTCGTGTTACGCAGCACGTTTGAGCTTCAGCAAGAACCAATGAGGTTCGTTCTTGTGTTACGCAGCACGTTTGAGCTTCAGCAAGAACCAATGAAGTTCATTCTCATGTTACGCAGCACATTTGAGCTTCAGCAACCAATGAGGTTCATTCTCGTGTTACGCAGCACGTTTGAGCTTCAGCAACCAATGAGGTTCATTCTCGTGTTACGCAGCACGTTTGAGCTTCTGCAAAAACCAATGAGGTTCATTCTCGTGTTACGCAGCACGTTTGAGCTTCTGCAAGAACCAATGAGGTTCATTCTCGTGTTACGCAGCACGTTTGAGCTTCCGCAAGAACCACTGAGGTTCATTCTCGTGTTACGCAGCACGTTTGAGCTTCAGCAAGAACCAATGAGGTTCATTCTTGTGTTACGCAGCACGTTTGAGCTTCAGCAAGAACCAATGAGGTTCATTCTTGTGTTACGCAGCACGTTTGAGCTTCAGCAAGAACCAATGAGGTTCATTCTCGTGTTACGCAGCACGTTTGAGCTTCAGCAAGAACCAATGAGGTTCATTCTTGTGTTACGCAGCACGTTTGAGCTTCAGCAAGAACCAATGAGGTTCATTCTCGTGTTACGCAGCACGTTTGAGCTTCAGCAAGAACCAATGAGGTTCATTCTCATGTTACGCAGCACGCTTGAGCTTCTGCAGGAACCAATGAGGTTCATTCTCGTCTTACGCAGCACATTTGAGCTTCAGCAAGAACCAATGAGGTTCATTCTTGTGTTACGCAGCACTTTTGAGCTTCAGCAAGAACCAATGAGGTTCATTCTTGTGTTACGCAGCACGTTTGAGCTTCAGCAAGAACCAATGAGGTTCATTCTCGTGTTACGCAGCACGTTTGAGCTTCAGCAAGAACCAATGAGGTTCATTCTCATGTTACGCAGCACGCTTGAGCTTCTGCAGGAACCAATGAGGTTCATTCTCGTCTTACGCAGCACATTTGAGCTTAAGCAAGAACCAATGAGGTTCATTCTCGTGTTACACGGCACATTTGAGCTTCTGCAAGAACCAATGAGGTTCATTCTCGTGTTACGCAGCACGTTTGAGCTTCAGCAAGAACCAATGAGGTTCATTCTCGTGTTACGCAGCACGTTTGAGCTTCAGCGAGAACCAATGAGGTTCATTCTTGTGTTACGCAGCACGTTTGAGCTTCTGCAAGAACCAATGAGGTTCATTCTCGTGTTACACGGCACGTTTGAGCTTCAGCGAGAACCAATGAGGTTCATTCTTGTGTTACGCAGCACGTTTGAGCTTCAGCGAGAACCAATGAGGTTCATTCTCGTGTTACGCAGCACGTTTGAGCTTCTGCAAGAACCAATGAGGTTCATTCTCGTGTTACACGGCACGTTTGAGCTTCAGCAAGAACCAATGAGGTTCATTCTTGTTAAGCAACACGTTTGAGCTTCAGCAAGAACCAATGAGGTTCATTCTTGTTACGCAGCACGTTTGAGCTTCTGCAAGAACCAATGAGGTTCATTCTCGTGTCACGCAGCACGTTTGAGCTTCTGCAAAAACCAATGAGGTTCATTCTCGTGTTACGCAGCACGTTTGAGCTTCTGCAAGAACCAATGAGGTTCATTCTCGTGTTACGCAGCACGTTTGAGCTTCTGCAAGAACCAATGAGGTTCATTCTCATGTTACGCAGCACGTTTGAGCTTCAGCAAGAACCAATGAGGTTCATTCTTGTGTTACGCAGCACGTTTGAGCTTCAGCAAGAACCAATGAGGTTCATTCTCGTGTTACGCAGCACGTTTGAGCTTCTGCAAGAACCAATGAGGTTCATTCTCGTGTTACGCAGCACGTTTGAGCTTCAGCAAGAACCAATGAGGTTCATTCTTGTGTTACGCAGCACGTTTGAGCTTCAGCAAGAACCAATGAGGTTCATTCTTGTGTTACGCAGGACGTTTGAGCTTCAGCAAGAACCAATGAAGTTCATTCTCATGTTACGCAGCACGTTTGAGCTTCAGCAACCAATGAGGTTCATTCTCGTGTTACGCAGCACGTTTGAGCTTCCGCAAGAACCACTGAGGTTCATTCTCGTGTTACGCAGCACGTTTGAGCTTCAGCAAGAACCAACGAGGTTCATTCTTGTGTTACGCAGCACGTTTGAGCTTCAGCAAGAACCAATGAGGTTCATTCTTGTGTTACGCAGCACGTTTGAGCTTCAGCAAGAACCAATGAGGTTCATTCTCGTGTTACGCAGCACGTTTGAGCTTCAGCAAGAACCAATGAGGTTCATTCTTGTGTTACGCAGCACGTTTGAGCTTCAGCAAGAACCAATGAGGTTCATTCTCGTGTTACGCAGCACGTTTGAGCTTCAGCAAGAACCAATGAGGTTCATTCTCATGTTACGCAGCACGCTTGAGCTTCTGCAGGAACCAATGAGGTTCATTCTCGTCTTACGCAGCACATTTGAGCTTCAGCAAGAACCAATGAGGTTCATTCTCGTGTTACACGGCACATTTGAGCTTCTGCAAGAACCAATGAGGTTCATTCTCGTGTTACGCAGCACGTTTGAGCTTCAGCAAGAACCAATGAGGTTCATTCTCGTGTTACGCAGCACGTTTGAGCTTCAGCGAGAACCAATGAGGTTCATTCTTGTGTTACGCAGCACGTTTGAGCTTCTGCAAGAACCAATGAGGTTCATTCTCGTGTTACGCAGCACGTTTGAGCTTCTGCAAGAACCAATGAGGTTCATTCTTGTGTTACACGGCACGTTTGAGCTTCAGCAAGAACCAATGAGGTTCATTCTTGTTACGCAGCACGTTTGAGCTTCAGCAAGAACCAATGAGGTTCATTCTTGTTACGCAGCACGTTTGAGCTTCAGCAAGAACCAATGAGGTTCATTCTTGTGTTACGCAGCACGTTTGAGCTTCAGCAAGAACCAATGAGGTTCATTCTCGTGTTACGCAGCACGTTTGAGCTTCAGCAAGAACCAATGAGGTTCATTCTCGTGTTACGCAGCACGTTTGAGCTTCAGCAAGAACCAATGAGGTTCATTCTCGTCTTACGCAGCACATTTGAGCTTAAGCAAGAACCAATGAGGTTCATTCTCGTGTTACGCAGCACGTTTGAGCTTCTGCAAGAACCAATGAGGTTCATTCTCGTGTTACGCAGCACGTTTGAGCTTCAGCAAGAACCAATGAGGTTCATTCTTGTTACGCAACACGTTTGAGCTTCAGCAAGAACCAATGAGGTTCATTCTTGTTACGCAGCACGTTTGAGCTTCTGCAAGAACCAATGAGGTTCATTCTCGTGTCACGCAGCACGTTTGAGCTTCTGCAAAAACCAATGAGGTTCATTCTCGTGTTACGCAGCACGTTTGAGCTTCTGCAAGAACCAATGAGGTTCATTCTCGTGTTACGCAGCACGTTTGAGCTTCTGCAAGAACCAATGAGGTTCATTCTCATGTTACGCAGCACGTTTGAGCTTCAGCAAGAACCAATGAGGTTCATTCTTGTGTTACGCAGCACGTTTGAGCTTCAGCAAGAACCAATGAGGTTCATTCTCGTGTTACGCAGCACGTTTGAGCTTCAGCAACCAATGAGGTTCATTCTCGTGTTACGCAGCACGTTTGAGCTTCTGCAAAAACCAATGAGGTTCATTCTCGTGTTACGCAGCACGTTTGAGCTTCT